AAGGATACTTCTAGAGGAGATTGGCATTTGAGTTAGTGGACTGTTTGGGGAAGATCTGCCCTTAATATGGGGAGGCGCCATCCAGTCAGACGGGGGACCCAGATGGAACACAAAGGCAGAGGAAGGGAAAATTCTTGCTCTTTCTTCTGGAGCCAGGACACCCCTCTCCTGCTCTTGGATGTCAGTACGCCAGGTTCTCTGGCCTTTGGACTCTGAGGCTGACTCATACTGTTGGGAGCCAGCCAGGGAGGCCCACTGAGTGTTAGGGATCAGGAAGGGCCGTTGACCCCGACACCACTAAGATGCGTTTGGGAGCTATTTGACCCCATTTCCTCCCCCTTTCTACTCAGCACTGACCAGATTAAGCTCCTGTGAGCTCAAAACATAGAAACTCTGAGATCAGGATGAGCACAAGGTAACTTTAGAAGCTCATTGCTCCCATTCTTCTACAAACTGCAGTTTTGGCTTTCACACAACTTATAATTCAAACTCGTGTCACATCTAAGAACCTTAGTATTGGTCACAGGCTTCTGGTTCATGATCTTAGGATTTATTGAAGGTGTAAATTGTAGAATACAGTTTTAGAAGACAGCCATTTTGTTGAAAGAATGCGGCTGGGTTACTTGCAGGTAGCCCACTGTGAACTTTGGACTGGGCCACATTCCAAACATTCTCGGATGGGCCACTTTCGTTTGTAAAGTAAATACTTAAGCTTCTATAGAATTGTTTAACTTGGCATAAATCAATCAGTTTAGGATGAAAAAGGTTTATAGAATATGTCAGTCACAGATTAGGTTATCCTTTGTTATGGGATTTTAAGATTATCATATGAAAAGGGTTTAAAGGCAATCATTGATTAAGTTTTCATGGATTAAGGTTTCCGGTGGGTGGGGGACGCCCCTCCCACATCTGACTTTGTGTATAAAAGACCCATTGTAATTCCCAATAACACACATCGCTTCTGCACTGGACTGGAGTCCAGTCTCCTTCTTTCTCTCTTTTTCCCCCCAATCGCCGACGCCGTCTCCACCTTTGGGGTACCCTGAACCCTGCTGGAGCTGGTCTCCGGCAGTGTGTCCCTTATCTCTCTTCCCTCCCTTCCTCCTTTGGCATTGTTCAGCATCTGTTGCTCCCACCTTTGTGCTCCTATGACCAGTGAACAGGGCCCACTTATGAGTGAGAACATGAGGTATTCATTTTTTTGTTTCTGTGATAGTTCACTTAGCACGATGGTCTCCACCTGCACTTATGTTGCTGCAAAGGGCATGCTTTTGTTCTTCATTGTGGCTGTGTAATATTCCACCAAGTATATTCACCACATTTTCTTTAGCCGGTTCACTTTCTATGGATGTCTGTATTGGTTCCATACTTTTGCTATCAGGAATGGTGCTGCAATAAACGTACGTGTGCAGGTGTCTTTGGGGTAGGGCAATTTATGTTCCTCTGGGTATATTTCCAGAAGTAGGATTGCTGGATTGTATGGGAACTGAAATCTTAGTTCTTTGAGAAAACGTCATATTGCTTTCCACAAAAGTTGAACTAGCTTACATTTCCACCAACAGTGTAGAAGTGTTCTTTTTTCTCTGCACCCATGCCAACACCTGCTGTTTTTGACTTTGTAATGATAGCCATCCCCACTGGGGTTAGGTGGTAGGAAATTTCTGCTTCTAAGAATATAAGTGCTAAGACACTCGCTTCTGGAAACTTTGTTGAGTTTTTGTACAAAAATTGCAGTCCTTTATCTTAAAAATTTCTTTCTCCGTGGACCAATATCACTGAAAGTGACTTGGAATTATAATGGTCCATCTGGGGATCTTCTGATCTCTCAAAGCTTGATTTTCTCCACAGACAACTAAAAGAAAAGACTAAACAGCCCAAGTGGGATGTCTACTTTACTTTGCTATCTTGAGGCATCTAAAACACTCTAGAACTATAGGTGAGCATGGTGACTCACGCCTATAACCGTAGCACTTTGGGAGATCAAGGTGAGAGAATTGCCTGAGCCCACAGGTTCGAGATCAACCTGGGCAAGACATTATCTCTACAATAAATCAAAAAATTAACCGAGTGTGGTGGCGCATGCCTGTAGTTTCAGTACTTGGAAGGCTGAGGTGGAAGGATCGCCTGAGCCCAGCAGGTCGAGGCTGCAGTGGCTGTGAGTATGCCACTGCACTCCAGTCTAGGTGACAGAGTATGACTCCGACTCAAAAAAAAAAGACTCTAGAAATATAGAGTAGTGTTTCTAAGAAATAACAATGCCAAGTTATCTCAAAGTCTCTAGATTAGAAAAAAGAAAAAAACTCAGAAACTTCTAAAAATGAAATAAATTTGGAACTAAGCAAGTCTCTGTCTTTGTCCTGTATCACCTTTTCCTCCTAGGCACTCCCCTCCCATCCACTGCCACCCTCTGCAATCTCTTGCTTATATGGGAAAAAAAACTTATTCTAAACCTGGAAAATTACCTCCTGAACTTTCCATGAAGAGGTTTCTTGGATTGGGTTGCGACTGAAGTAAGTACACTATTGGAAATTCATCAGTGTCAAAAAAAAAAATCATCCGTGACCAAAAAAATGGATCCTTTAAATTTAAAAAATTCCTATATTTGAACTATTTTAGAGATCTCTTATTCTAAACAATTGCTTTATTTGTATGTATGGCAGGATCAATTTTTTTTAAAAAGACAATAGTATAATGACTGTCTTTAGTAATTCTCTTGATAAAATTAAAGAGCAAAAATCTGACCTAAAACAAAGTTAAAATGCTTTGTACATTCAAGCTACCTGTTTTGCATTCCATGTGGGATTTTTTGAAAAAGGCATTCCACCCTGTGGTCTAATGGTTAGGATTTGGTCACCGCCTTGGCGTAGTGTAATTCCTGGCCAGGAAACCGGTCCCTGCAAGATGTAAGCTCTATAACTCAAGAGAACATTTACTTAAAAATTGGTTTGATATTTATATCACTTTGGGGTCTTCTGTTTTTCTCATGGAGCCCCAAGAGTCATGGACAGTTCCTCTCAGTCTAAAAGCTCTGCTCTCTTTTGTGCTGAGTTCCCTGATCTCTCAAGCTTTGGGGGTGTCAGGGGATTACTTTGTTTTGTGAGAGAAAACTTGACCTTCGTGTGTGTGATGGCAGATGGATCATTAGTAAGGGCTGCAGTTTTGAAAGTGGCAGACAGTGATTGTTTGCAATGAATGATTATTACTGCAGGGGTCTACTCGGTTCTTCATATAATCCCAGCACTTTGGGAGGCAGAGGCAAGAGGATTATTTCCTGAACCCAGGTGCCCAAGACCAGCCTGGGCAACTTGGCAAGACCTCATCTCTACAACAAATCAAAAAACTAGCCAGATGTGGTGGCACACGCTTGTGGTTCCAGCTACTTGGAAGGCTGAGGCAGAAGCATCACCTGAGCCCACTTGGAAGGCTGAGGCCGAAGAATCACCCGAGCCCAGCAGTGAGCGTGTCACTGCACTCCATTCTGGGCAACAGAGTGAGACTTCAACTCAAAAAAAAAAAAAAAAAAAAAAGCTAAAATAGTAGCTAATACATATAATTAAAACTACTAGATATAAGAGAAACAATTCTGTATGCAAAGTGTACAAGAAAAGTAGAATGTGTTTTGGTAAGGAAACTTATTTTAAAAAACATGAGATGTGGTTTTTGTTAAAAGAAAAGCAATTTTGTCTAGTTTAGTGGCTATTTAAAGATTGTTTTAAATTTAAGGAATAAAAATAAATGGCTAAAACTGAATGGACATAGAAAGATAATGAGAAAAATTATGTGAGGTTATAAAAGGTTCGTGGAAATCTCATCTTGTGTGGTCAAAACTAACTGAGAGTGTATGAATTTGTTTATAAAACTGTATTAAAGTTAGCTTTACTATTAATAATACACCAATGCAATGGTAGAATTTGGTTTTCTCTTAACAATACCTTGTGTAATGTTAATAAGAAATAGTGGCCAGATGTATTGGCTCATGCCTGTAATCCCAGCACTTTGGGCGGCCTTGGCAGGAAGAGCTCTTGAACCCAGGAGTTCGAGGCCAGGCTGGGCAACACAGTGAGACCTCATCTATATAAATAAATAAATACATAAATATATAAACAAGAATTAGTAAATGATTTGTTTTCCTTTTGAGTAAGTTACCAAAAAAATAGGAAGAGTTTACTTCAGGCTGTTTTTTTTTGAGTTGGAGTCTCACTCTGTCGCCCAGACTGGAGTGCAGTGGCCGCTCCCGGCCGCCGCAGCCCCGACCTGCTGGGCTCTGGCCATCCTTCCGCCTCCGCCTTCCAAGTAGCTGGAACTACAGGCGCGCGCTACCACACCCGGCTAATTTTTGATTTATTGTAGAGATGAGGTCTCGCCAAGTTGCCCAGGCGGGTCTCAAACCCGCGGGCTCAGGCAATCCACTCACCTCAGCCTCCCAAAGTGCTGGGATTATAGGCTGAGCCGCCGAGCCCGGCTTCATGCTGTCTTTATTAGGTCTTTTGATTGGAAAATAGTCTCCTCTTCTATCTAAGAGTAAAGGTTTTTATGTGTTTTGAAATATTTTTGTTATCACTTTGGCTAAGTGAATGCTTATTACTTTTTAGTAACCTGTGATCCTATTTTGATACCAACTGTTTTAAACCTTTGATATTTGACAAACTTCCCAAAATCAAATTTCAAATTCTACATTGTGTCTTTTTGACCTCAAAATCACTTTTGGACATTCCAAAATGAACTCCTGGAACTCTAAGAGAGTCATGTTAGGTTTATTTGGTATGTTAAAATCATATGGAAAACACTGTCAAATAAGAAATAATGTTTAACTTTCTTTGAGTTATATTTAAATAAATGTGTTAATATGTGTTCAAAAATTGTATGTGATTCCTAAAAATCAGATATGTCCTAGTAAATTGGTTTTTTTAACCTTTTTTTCCCCCTAAAAACCCTTTGAAAATTCTAAAATATTGTGTCTTTCAAGGAGGTTCACGAAAAAGACTCTGACATGTACTATGAAATACAGACTTTGAGACTATTCAATTGGCCTGGGTAAATTTTCAAAGAATCCATAAAATTGCTAACCTAACATCAGGCAGAGCAATAATTAATTACATAGGACTAACTATGACTGACTGAAATGATTTTTATGACTTTTTTCTTTAAACATTGCTGATTCTGGCCAGGCTCAGTGACTCAGTCTGTAAACCCAGCACTTTGGGAGGCCAAGTTGAGGGGATTGCCTGAGCCTGCAGGTATGAGACCAACTTGGTGAGACCTCGTCTCTACAATAAATAAAAACTTAGCCAGGCGTGGTAGTGCACATCTATAGTTCTGGCTACTTGGAAGGCTGAGATGGAAGGATCGCCTGAGCCCAGCAGGTGGACGCTGGGGTGGTCGTGAGTGTGCCAGTGCACTCCAGCCTGGGCGACAGAGTGAGAATCCAACTCAAAAAAAAAAAAAAAAAATTGCTGATTCTCTTTATGTTTTGTTTTCCAGAGTTATGTAAGCTTTTCCTCTTAAACTGTTTATACTTTACAGTAACTGAGTAAAGTATACTTGTGTGAGCATAACTGAAACATGTATCTTTCTCTCTTCCATATGTCTCCAGAATTTGAAAACTATTCATGTTGTTCTTATTTTGGTAATGTTGTTATTTGCATAAGTTCAATAAACAATCTATTTTCTTCTATAACAGGACACAATTGGAGATGCAGGTTATTTTATAAAGGGTTTGACTAGAATGTCAAAATTTCATATATGACCAGGCAGCTTTGAGAAATTGAAGTTGACTTTAAAGCCAATAGACTTGAAAAAACAATTGATCTGGTACTTTGTCTACACTGTCGTTCCCTTACAGGGTTCCTGACCTTGTGGCAAATAAAGAACATCACTTTCTGAAAGGCCCAGGAACATCAAGATATTTTAGGGACCTTGAAAGAGAGAAATTCACACAATTCATACAGGTTTTGCTGGCAAAGACTAATGGAAAACTGTTGGCTTGGCTTATTAGCCTTGAGAGGCTCTTAAAAGTCTAATCTGAGATTCCTTATGAAAAAGTTCCAGCAAAACTAACTTAAAAGAGCCCATATAAATATAGCCCATCATTATTACTGCTGCATTTTATGCAAATAATCAAACCCAGTATAATAGGAGTGAAATGTATTTGCAAATAAATTGGTCATACAGCTGAAGCAGCACAGGTTGTTAGGGTACTGGACAGGGTGAGGGAAAATGGATGAAGCAGGGAGGCACGCAGCACTGCGGGGGCTGGCAAGCCAGAGGTGCGCGCTGGCAACCCAGAGATCCTAGTAAATTGCCAAGAATTGCAACACACAGAGGTGAGAGAAGAAAAGATTTATTTAAGAAAAGTTCACCCCCCACAGACAGGGAATGGGCCTACACTCTAGGTGAGTGTGGCCTCATAACCCCCCAGAGTCCCGGTTTAAATCCTTCTCTTGGAGATGTTGCACATGACTGCTGTGACTTCCTTATTGACCACCTGTGGATGTCTTGGAGAACCTGTGACAGAGACCCATTAATGTTCGCCCATATTATCATAGCCCCTAGAGAAGGGCGTGGCAAGGATTCTAATTCTCCTGTAGCTTCCCAAACGACATTCCTTGGAGCTAATGGAGTGTGCCCTTCCTCCTTATCTCCTAGGCATTCCCAGTAGGTAGGTTGGAGGGGGGAAGGAGATCCTTGACTTCCCTGTAGATAGCGCCCAGTTTACTGGAAGATCGAATCCCCACTTGCTCTCCCTCTGAGCAGTAATTACAAGTTTCATGATGTTTACAATCCTTGCCCAATGCATGATGTCTTAGGCCTTGTAAAATCCCTTTACTCAGCCAGGCTCGGTGGCTCAGCCTGTAATCCCGTGCCTTTGGGAGGCTGAGGTGAGTGGATTGCCTGAGCCTGCCGGTTTGAGACCCGCCTGGGCAACTTGGCGAGACCTCATCTCTATAATAAATTTTTAAAAAATGAGCCGGGTGTGGTAGTACACGCCTGTAGTTCCAGTTACTTGGAAGGCTGAGGCGGAAGGATCGCTGGAACCCAGCAGGTCGAGGCTGCAGTGGCCAGGAATGGCCACTGCGCTCCAGTCTGAGTGATAGAGTGAGACTCCAACTCAAAAAAAAAAAAAAAAAATTCCCTTTACTCTAGGCAAGCTTGATTGCCACTATGCGATACCTCTGATACCTGGAAGTCTGTGGCTGAAAAGACAAAGTCGGTAAAGTTAATTAGACCTAAAGTGTGCATTTCGCCAAAAGCATAACTTCTACTTTCTCATCATTGTGTCAGCGTTTAAGAACAAGATGAAAAATGGCTTCCCACTCTCGATCTGTCCTTTCACAGGTTAGGCATAGATAGAAAGTGTTCAGACTTTTTTTTTTTTTTTTTTTGAGTTGGAGTCTCACTCTGTCGCCCAGACTGGAGTTCAGTGGCACACTCCCGGCCACCGCAGCCTCGACCTGCTGGGCTCCAGCGATCCTTTTGCCTCAGCCTTCCACATAGCTGGAACTACAGGAATGCGCCACCACACCCAGCTAATTTTTTTTAAGTATATTGTAGAGATGAGGTCTCACCAAGTTGCCCAGGCTGGTCTCGAACCCATGGGCTTAAACAATCCTCTCACCTCGGCCTCCCAAAGTGCTGGGATTATAGGCATGAGCCACCATGCCCAGCCTAGACATTTTTTATTACATTTTTTTTACTGTAGTCCAAACTAAACTGAATTTACCAGCCTACCCCACTGTTCAGCCAATCTAAAGAAAATCCCATCAGATGTAAGAATAGGAAGCTGAACCTTTCAGCTCATAATCTCTAAAAATCCTTCAGGTTTTTGCTGAAGGTAAAAGGTTCAGCCACACCCCTTAACTGATCAAAACCCTGGAAATGACAGAGGGCAGCAGTTACCTGTGTTCTACCCTCATTAGCATGCCAGTAACTAGGTAGCTATATCTAGCTTGCAGTTGAGAGCATAAGTGTGGTTTTTCTTTTCCAAGAAACTCACCCATGGCAGGTCTTTCTGCCACGAATCTCCCTTTTTCCTTTTCTCTCTAATAAACTCTATTTTAAAATTTTGCTGGCTATTCTAAAATTTATTTTAGGGTTAAATCAAAGAGCCCACAAGTTTTGTGCTACACCCGCACCCCCCTCCCACATCACTATGATTTATCTTTGGTAGAAATGGGCAACTAGAGAGAAATTTTTACATTTCAAAAGGAAACAATACTATACCTGTTATTAGATACTAGCCCAGTTCAATTTGGACTGAATCCTAAATTCTTTCCTGACTATAAGTCTCCAAACTAACAATTCTAACTTTTTCTTCATTTTTTTTTGACTTGGACTCACTGAAATGGTAACTACCTTTTTCCTGTGGCCCTGCAAGCTAAAACTCGTGTATAAACAACCTTGTGAGGAAGTACAGACCAGGAAGCTCTGTCAAATGCCACTGCCTTCCACTTTAACTGAAGACACTTCCAGCCAACATCCACACACCTCAACTGAGTGCCCTCCAGACTTTAAGAAAATTGGTGTGCCTATATAGATATATATAGATATATATCTTTTTTTTTTTTAAGTTGGAGTCTCACTCTGTCGCCCAGCTGGAGTGCAGTGGCATGCTCCCGGCCACCACAGCCTCGACCTGCTGGGCTCCAGCGATCCTTCCGCCTCAGCCTCCCAAGTAGCTGGAACTACAGGCGCGCGCTACCACACCCGGCTCATTTTTTGATTTATTGTAGAGATGAGGTCTCGCCAAGTTGCCCAGGCGGGTCTTGAACCCACAGGCTCAGATAATCTACTCACCTTGGCCTCCCAAAGTGCTGGAATTACAGACTGAGCCCCCGAGCCCAGACAAAAAAAAAAAAATTGGTTTATAGACTGCTCCCAACATTCGTTGTTTTTCTTCTGTTTGAAAGTGAAGCCGGGTGTGGTGGTTCATGCCTATAATCCCAGAACTATGGGAGGTTGAGGTGAGAGGATTGCCTAAGCCCATAGGTTTGAGACTTGCCTGGGCAATTTGGTGAGACCTCATCTCCACAATAAATAAACAAAAAATTAGCTGGGCATGGTGATGTGCGCCTGTAGTTCCAGCAACCTGGAAGGCTGAGGCGGAAGGATCGCCTGATCCCAGCAGGTCGAGACTGCAGTGGTCATGAGTGTGTCACTGCACTCCAGCCTGGGTGACAGAGTGAGACTCCGACTTAAAAATGAGTAAGAAATAAAAAATAAATTTAAAAATTCGCCAGGCATGGTTGCACGTGTCTGTAGTTCCAGCTACTTAGAAGGCTGAGGTGGGAGGATCACCTGAGCCCAGCAGGTCGAGGTTATAGTGGCCATGAGTGTGCCACTGCACTCCAACCTGGGTGACAGAGTGAGACTCTGACTCAAAATTTAATTAATTAAATTTAAAAATTAGCCAGGTATGGTTGCATGTGCCTGTAGTTCCAGCTACTTGGAAGGCTGAGGCGGAAGGATCACCGGAGCTCAGCAGGTCGAGGTTGCGGTGGCTGGGAGCGTGCCACTGCACTCCAGCTGGGCGACAGAGTGAGACTCCTCACAAAAAAACAAAAACAAAAACAAAAAAACCAGAAAGTAGCTGGGCTGGTGGCTCAGCCTGTAATCCCGCGCCTTTGGGAGGCTGAGGTGAGTGGATTACCTGAGCCCGAGGGTTCGAGACCCGCCTGGGCAGTGAGACCTCATCTCTACAATAAATCAAAAAATGAGCCGGGCGTGGTAGCACGTGCCTGTAATTCCGGCTACTCGGAAGGCTGAGGCGGAAGGATCGCCGGAGCCCGGCAGGTCGAGGCTGTGGTGGCCAGGAGCAGCCACTGCACAGTCTGGGTAACAGAGTGAGACTCCAACTCAAAAAAAAAAACCAGAAAGTGAAAGAGTGATGTGCCAACATGGAGTCACTTTAGCTATGGTACAGTCATTTTGGCCATAACAGCTCTGTTATGCTTCCTTAAGTAAGTCATAACAGAAGGCAGAACCAGTTTCCCGGAGGTAAATACTGATGATTGTTTGTAACCTCCAAGTATGCTCTATACTAATTACTCCTCTACTCCAAGTATTTGTTTTCCAGCCATAAGGGCCAAGTTGACGCAATCTATTGTGATCAGCCTTCTGTGACAGCCCAACAGCCCACACCTGCTGGAGTCAACAGATGTGCTGTCCTGACAACATCATGACACAAGACTTATGCTATCAATTCCCAAGGATACAGTTGCTAAAATTTTTTCTAGTCCTGCTTCCCTGTAAATGCCTTAAATATACCTTTTCCCTACACCCCAAGCTCTCAGCACTGGCCCCATTCAGTCTGTCCTGAATAAGAATACACTTTTGCTTTGCCTTTGCAATTCTTTGTTTTATTCGTGGCACTGGCTCACTGACCTAACAAAAAGTTTGTCCACAATGCCATCTCCTGAAATAAGACACAACTTTTAATTGAGCTGGCCAATTCCCAAAAATGGGAAGCTGGTTTAATAGACTCCTTTGCCACTTAGCTATTAACTGGATCTTTCTCTCCACAGCTACTAATTCAGCTTTCAGTATGCAAAACTTCTAGGGAAGTTTCAGACAGAGGAATGTTGGGGTACAGATGATTTCCTAAAATGTGATGCTTTGACATGCTGAGTGCTTTTGAAAACTGAAAGGCCTCAGAAATAAGCCTCAGAATCATGGTCCTTCAGACCTTGTCTCTTCCTCCCTTTCCAAGGGCAGGGAAAGACCAGCTCTGAAGTGTCCTTATCTGATGAAGAAAGCTTCTTACCAAAGGAAATGTAATTGTCTTCTATGCTCTCCCTGAAATCTCATTATCTGTTTCAGAGTAGGAGAGTGAAGAATGATATTGACATGTTAATCAAATGTATACCTTTCCTGATAACACAGATAATCACCATAATACAGGCCTCCTTATTTAAATGGCTTTCTTGTTACTCAAATTTGACTAATCTGTAAGGCCTTAGATGGACATTGAGTTTCTATAACACCCCCTCTGTGAGACATACCACTCTGGAAACAGGCATTTCCAGTTCCAAGGGAAACAAATAACAAATCTGTGGCTGGCCAACCAGTCAATAACGGATCAGCAATGCTTGCTCATGTCGATCTTGAACAAAAGGGGGAAATGTGAAATGTATATATGAAATGACGTCGTTCTGGTTCAGAGCTTTAAAGTGCAGCCGGGAAGGCATTCTAAGAAGGATCACCTGCATGACCTTGCTAAACAAAACCACAAGAACATGCCTTACACCTCTGAACCAGGCCATACGGCAATGGCCACAACATCCTGGAAAACAGTAGGATTTTGCCAGCACTGCAACTACTGAGTAGTGACAACCAATAAACTGTGGACTCATGTACTAAGTCAGAGCCTCTGTCAATGACAATTCTTTCAAAACAACTTGCGTAATCACCCGTATCTTCCTTTCAAAATTCCTACACTCCTTCTTCTCTTTGGAATACAATTTGGCCTTTACCTGAATCTGTGTCTCCCAAATTACAACTCCCAAGACCCCAACAAATGTCTTATCTTACTGCTTTGCAGTCTGGTTTTTCTCCTCTTCTTGGTTGACATTAGTAATCAGGAAAATAGAAACTGAGCCATTCTATGTCTTTCGGTGGTGCATTTAGTCCATTCACATTCAGGCTGATTATTGACGTGTGAGAGCTTGTCCCTGTCATGATGCTCTTTTAAGGCTGTTTTGTTTTCGTTTAGTTTTTGTGTTCAAATAGGTGTGTTTTCATTTTTGTGGGAATGCTGTGTGTTCTGCTGCTTCTGTGTTTGTTTGTGATCTTGTGAAGTATATGGTCTTTCTTTTGCTTCTTTTTCTTCTGTGCAGAGCACCTTTTTAAACATCTCCTGTAGAGCTGGTCTCAAAGCAGCATCTTCTCTTAGGGATTGGGTGTCTGGGAAGGATTTTAATTCTGCCTCAGTGGTGAAACTTAGATGGAACAGGATAGAAATTCCAGAAGCAAAACCTCAATTTCTCAACCAACTCATCTTTGACAAAGTCTTCAACAACCGCCACTTGGGAGAAGAGAAACTATTCAGTAAATGGTGCTGGGAAAACTGACTGACCACGTGCAGAAGAATGAAACAGGACCCCTATCTACCACCATAGACAAAAATCAACTCCAAATGGATCAAAGACCTAAATGTAAAACCTCAAATATTAAGAATCTTAGAAAATGCAGGAGACACCCTTACGGAAATCGGAATAGACAACCAATTTCCGATCAAAATCTCA